CTCCATGTAACTCCTTGGTGGTAGAGGAAGGAACAAGAAATTTGTTTCTTTCCATTTTAAAAGATATACTTTATGGCCAGTGAGAGTACCAGTTAGGAAAATAACCAGTTTTTTTGGCAGACTGTAAGTGAACAATTCAATTGTAAACATCCATAATTCTTGTTTGATTCAATTACAACTTCACCTTGCAATCTCTCAGTCAATCAAATTGTGAAATCGTAATAACAATTTTAATCAGCACTTTTTAAGCTTAGTTTCTCAAAACTAGATCAGCTAAATTTTAGAAGTAAAGGAGAGCATAACTGTAGTTATAGACGACCCAGAACTAGGAATTAAACAATATTGAAAACTGCAGTGTCCTCGTTAATGTGAGATTTTGGTATTTAATGTAAATTGACAAATTCCACCATGTGAAGGTTTCCTCAGATCACATCACAGTCAGTGAAAATATACATTGCCCCAGTATCAAGAGAAGACGTGGAGGGGTGGGTTCTGAGTCCCCGGCCACCCTGCTCATTTTTTACAAATCTTTGTTTTGAAGAAACAGCAGTGGAAGATGGTCTTCTTGTGACTGACAGTGGAAGCACCTTAACACTGGAGCAAAAGATGGCATCCCTCGAGGCCAGCAAGGAGGAACTGATCGCCGGTATCAACAGTGAAACAACAAAAGTGAGCAATAGACATCAGCATTTTTTCTGAATTAAAAAAGCCCCTTTGCGTATGTTTACGGTGCTTCGTGGGGTACCAGAACAATAGGAAGTAGCCCAAAAGGCACATTCATTGACCTTGTGGGGTGCTTAAACGGTACCCTACAAGAATTTCACGGAATGGATTTTAGGAATCAACGCATAAAAGGAGGAATGTCCAAGGTATACTTATCCTTCGCAAGTTGAAGTATTTTACATGAGGGATATTTGGTTGAAATATCAACCCAGGAAGGACAGTCGTGGTTCAAATGAGAGCACATTGGAAACTGTGCTTTTTGAGTACACGAGAAGAAAGGAACTACCCCAGAAAAATACAAATGTAAGAGCGTGCGTATTTGTCAAAGGCATGCCAGGCATGCTGGGCGCGGGGCTTATAACTTTGTGCTCCAGTGCGGAGTGCACTCTCCCCGGCAAAGAAGAGGGAGGCCTGTGGGAAGTTTGTACGATGGGGCTTGTGCATTCTTTGGAATAGTATTGATGGTAATAGTAAGTCGTAGTCATCTCTGGGATGCTTGGAGAGCAGCTACAAAAACTCCTAGTCTCTGATTATCTGAGGTAGCTCCTCTTCTGTCATTCTAATCATCCTTTTGTTCTTCTGAACGTCTTTATGTTTGGTAATTTCAGTTTTTGTTACATCTAGTCTGTTGGTTTGTCTTTGTTTTGTTTTTGTCTTTGTTTAGTTTTGACTGTGTTTTACTGCAATTGTCTTTCTCTCATGTACAATCTGTTGTCAGTCTTCCTTGTCTGGTTCTTTTCTTGTCTAAAGACGGCATTTCTGCATAAGGCATTGTCTTCTGAATATGCCTCCTTATTTGTCCCCTTTTATTTCAATGTCTCATGGTCGGATTTAATTTTCACTCCACTGAGGGCTTGCCCTTTATTTTTTCCGACAGTAGCCCACCAGGCTAGTAAATTGTGATTTTTACTAGCCCGCAGAGATTTTTACTAGCCCATGAAATGTGTGAAAAAAAATAACAATTAAAGCAGGTTTTTGACTTAAGAAGGTTGGTCCACCATGACGTTTCTAACAACCGCTATCACATGGGGTTATAGCGGTTCGTGGGTAGACTGGTTCCCGTTCCCTATTCACTCACCAGGCATGATTGTCCAATGAGGGGCTTGCGATCAGTGGTACAACGAAGTCACATACGAACCGGATTGCACCAGTCTATGGACGCAATATCAGTTTTTGGTATCTGGTTCCCAGTATGAATTGTATGTTAATTATATTGGTCACGTATAGAGGTCACTGACTACTGGAGAAACTATCATTGATGCGTTGATGATAGGTCCTAGGTACAGTTATCACGTAGTCCCAGCACACAATACGGGATTCCAGGTGCGAGTCAGAGGCGATGTTGAGGTTTATTTGATTCCAATAAAATAAAGTTACATTCATGACAGACAAAAGGTAAAGCTTTGAAATCAAGACTTTGTTTTATTTTCTTTAATCACATCAGAAAAACAAGGAACGTGTACATTTTTTAACTCGCCCGCCGGACGACTGAGGGAAGTGTTTTTGACTCTCCCGTGACTGGTTTCACTCTCAG